ATTAGGCTATAGTTTCTTCTGCTGCCTCCAATGAGTCCCATATCATGGGAGAAACTTTCTTTTCTCTGTAGGAGTAAGGATCCGGAGAGGCCAAGAGAAAGGAGAAAGAGACTTCAGAGTATGAGCCCCAGGGGAAGGGGGGCTGCCCAGAGAGGGCATGTATGCTAACTGACACAGAAGGAAAAGAAGAAAACACTGCAGTCTTCTGTTCTTACAAGGAGAGAGCTTTATGCTGGTGATAAATAAAACTGACCTAAGATTGAAGACTCTGGAACAAACAGAGGTTCAAAGAGGAAAAGGCCAGGGAGGAGGGGGAGGAAGAAGATGAAGAGGGGAGGAGGAGTTGCTTTAAGAAGAGCAACTTTTGTTGTGATCCAGTTCACCATTTCTGAAGCTAAGGAGAGCTTCTGAGAGCCACACACACACACACACAGGGAGTCCCTGGAATGGAGACAGCCATTCCCATCAAATCCACCCGAGTGCCTAACACACAGAGGACAACACACGGTTACAATTCCAATGCAGGTTACAAAAATCAGCCAAAGACAACCATCTTCAGAGCTTTTCCCTAAAGGATAGGTGCATATTTCACTGTTCCTCACATCGAAACGAGGGACAGATCCCTCCAAGGCTAGGACATATTAGCTGAAGGGGAAACATGAGAAAAGTAATGTTGTCTTACACAAAACATTCTGCAAGGCAGTGTAAAACCACAGGTTCAAACGGGAAACTGAGAGGGAAGGAGGGGAGAAAAAGAGTAGAGAAACAGATGGTGGAGGGAGAAGGGGAGAAAAAGAGAGTAAAGGGGAGGAAGGGAGAGAAAAGGGAGAGCTAAGGAGAGAGAAAGGGAGGGAGGAAGGAAGGGAGATCAAGAGAGCATGTGCCGGAAGGGGGGGCGGGGCCGAAGCTCATGTGTGATATAGGCAACAAATGCTGCTGAAGTGCTGTTTTCATTAATAAACAGTAAAGCACTAAGAACATGAAAACGCACTTCAGCAAGTGGCAGAAATATATCCTCGAAGGCATTGTTCTCTTATTTCTCTGAAAATGAAAACCTAAATGGAACTGACTGAGCTTCCTGTGGATATATCATTTTTCTCACTAGAAACAGACTGTTTTCTGAAGACTATTACAACAACCATGGGATTAGAAGGAAACGTCGAGATAATCAAATCCAACATGCCTCTTTTAAAAGATAAAGATACTTCTGCTGGGGGCATCAGTCACTTGTTTGCAACCATTGAGCAGAGGAGCATTTATTCAAACCTCCCAATAACCAAGCCAGAGCCCTTTTCATTACACAATGGAACTTTGAAGTCGCAGAACTGGGGTAGGAAGTGAACTCTTGCCTACAAAGAGCCCAGAGAGGGGAAACACCACACAGAAAGTCTATGAACAGTTCTGCAGCTGTTTGTCCTTTTTAATACAAGGACAAACCCAACCAATCAAGTCTTCCCATTCTAACAAGTCCTAGAGGGAAGTTAAAATGTTGTGTGAATTCGATACAAGTTAAGTCTTTATCAGCTTCTAAACATAACAGGACCTTAGCCATGCTTCCTAAGTTCCAAGCACCAGTGAAGTCGTAGCTTTATAAATATCACGGTGAACAAGAAATGCTGTCTTGTCACATTCAAGCCAAATAACAGCTGGACTTTAAAAATAAAATTTTGAAGACATTTGCCTTTTATATTTCTAATTTCTGTTTTCCCTGCTTATGGTTTTGTCATTTGATGTTGATGAGTGGTTAATACACATGCACAGCTGCCTCTTTGGGTGACCTTTTCTCTGCTGCCTCCATGCCCAGAGCTATGAAGCAGGCCTTCAAGCTGCTTACTGAGAAATACCATCCTTTGCATGGCTGGCAGGCACAGTCCTGGGAAGTATGGCTGGGAAAGGACCTGTCTTCTGCATGACTTACTTTTGTACTTAAGAAGCCCCACAGGGGGGACGAGAAGTGCAAGGATGAGATGACTTCGAAAAGGCTGGAGATGTTTGTGCATGGAGGGAAAGAAGTGATCTCCCAAGTTGGAGGTATAGCTCACCTTTCATCTCAGCCTCCCTAAAGAACTTGCTTTCTGGGTGCTTGGTAGAGACCACATAATCTTACTCTTCGAGTTGTGTTCTCAGTGATGATAAGGCACATATGCACAGCTTTCCCCTTGACTCTTGTATTCTCTCACTAGACCATAAGCTCCAGCTGCTGAAGGGCATCATTGTTTTAACTTCACATGGTTTGCCCAGGATCTAGTGCAGGGGACTGGCACACCATAGGCATTCAAGAAATGTTGGATGAGTGTTTGTTTTGTTGGGCTTAGTGGGTGAGTAAACACACTTGGTTGTTGCTATTCTGCCCCTCCAGCCCTATTCCAATCTTCAGCTGAGGGGAATATGAACAAGCAGAGTAGAGAGACTATTGTTTGTACCTGCTAACTATCCTGACTTTAACATGAACTGTAACTCCAGCAGGATTTGCAATCAGCTCAGGCTTGAACAGATGCCAGGAACTAGCCTGGAGTCAGCAGAAGGCTGCTCCCCATCCCAGAAGTCCTCACAAAGGCACTGCACTGCTGTCCATATTAGTGCAGGTAACTCGACTCCATTCATGAACTCACAGTCCCCCAGAGGCACATGAGGTCTCAATGGCAACTCTGGGCAAGCTTCTGAAGGGAGGTTTTCACACGCTCCGTAAGCTCCTAGGCCACTACAGCTTGTCTACTGTTACACTCATCAGCATGCTGCTCCGTGTGATGGGGTAACATGAGAACTGATGTATGGCATGACCAGCTATATTTAGGGGAAAGGAAATGGGCCTTACTGAGGAAGGTCACAAGAAGTTTGTTCAGAAAAAAATGAAGGCATTACAATTATCCCGCCATACAGAAGTATAATATGGAATCTAGAGCCTGAATCTTCCATCATATTTTAGCTCTATCATTACTGACATTGTTACCTATACCATTTTATGTAATTTCTCTCAGCCTCAATCTTTTAACCTGCAAAATGAGGAAAAATAATACCATCCAGGTGCTATGGAATATAGATAGCATTTGGGAGACTGACATAAGAATATTGTATATTTAAGGTCAGCATAATAAGACCCTATTAACAACAATAACAACAACAATAATATATAATGACTTACTTACTCAAAGTGTATCTAAAGATTATATAAAAAAAAGGCTGTAAAAATAACAGATCCTCTGGCATATTAGCACTGGATAGATGTTTGCTAAAAATAAATGTAACTAGGAAAATGTATCTGAAGTTATACAATGTGGGTATTGAGCAAAATTTCCACAATCCTTCTGTAGATTTTTCTCTGCTGTTAAGGTTTTTATCTTTTTATAATGGCCAATACTTCCATTCACACTATCTCATCAACTTGATTAGCAGCATTACTGAGAGGCAACTCACTATATTTATAGCTAATATATAGTTAAGAAATCAAATGAAAGTGCTGGCAGAGCAAGGGTCAGGTGACAGAGCTCTGTAACTCCTGGTCCATAGCCAAATGAACAGACTGGATTCCCCCAAAGCGATGAAGACTGCTTGACTCACTATATATAGCCAAAGATTTAGGCACTCCACAGTACAACTTCACAAGGAGACTGAGACAGGTCTGCTCTGAAACACTTCTTTCTCAGACCAGCAGGCCAGCGATTATGTCCGTGTCACAAACTATTAACTATTTCAATCATTTGAATTCCGTGGCTGGCTAGACAGAAGAATCTCAACCCTTGTCAGTAGAAGCCTGCTGGTCTATGTGCCTATGACAATGTCGGTGTGATTGATACATACTCTTCATGGAGGAGAACAGGTAGTGTCCTCTTCTTAAGTGCTTTATCTTTTCCTTTCTACTCACCTTCCACTTCCCCCTTCCTTCTTCTTGTCTCTTTCCTCTCTGTTGTGTTTTCTCTTTCTATCACATTAGCAGACACAAATACATACACACATCACCCAACATTTATATTTATCCTTTGCACCTGTGCAGAACTACCCTCAGGAATTATTATCTCCAACTGACATGGAAGCCATGCCTTCTGGAGACTCTGAGGCCTTACTGCTGTCTGACACCATCAAGCTCTCAGTGCTCACATCGGGAATTTCCAAACAGCCTTGGGAGGCCCTGTTCAGATGTTACTGGGAAGAAACTCTGCCAGTAAAAAGGGAACTAGTAAGATTCTTCCTTCAAACTAAAATAGAACTTTCACTAGGGTCTGAGATGGGTAAAGGATCCTGTTACTCTTAAGAGAGCAAATTAATCTTCCCTGACTGGTGGGATGGATTCTGCCAGAGAAACTGCTAACGGGAAAGCCAGTCTCCACTCCGTGATGACACAGTAAATAACCAGGCCACATTACTAGCAAAGTGCTGACCTAACCTATAAATTGTACCCAGCCTCTGGGGAACAATTTCTGCTGACAGCTGCTTGGTGCATTTAAGACAAACAAACAAAAAGGAAGCAATGAGGACAGGCATTGACAGAGCTGCAGGTAGACATCCTAAGAATGAGGCTGTTCTTCCAATGAACAAACATAGAACAGGGTTCAGCCATGGTTAGTGCACACACAGGCCCAGAGGTGGGTCTTCTCTAGGCAACCAGTAGGTTTCTGCTGAATCTGTCAGCTAGTCCCAAATGGTTTGACCATGCCTAGGAATTGCTTGATCTAGATTCTTCAAAGAATTCCTCTTTGTATGTTTCTTATTTTTCTGAATAAGACTATAGAGAGGTAGGTGATACTCAGGTATCTATTACAGAAATGTAGTGAGATTTTCCACTAAAACTTTAAAATAACATCGTGAGGTACACAGATTGCTGTGTGTTCAGAAACAGAGAACCCAGCAGTGTCTCAAAGTCCTCAACTAAAATACATACTGAGGATCAACATTTCCTTTTTTGCCTAGAGAATTCAGAAAGTGACTCCCAAAAATGGCCATGAGGATCCCATGCCTAACGCAGACTCACCTTCAGAAACACAAGCCAGGGAAAAGCCACTCACCTTCTGCGTCTTCTGGCCGAGTGAGATCGATGACACCTGGGCCCAGCTTCCCATCTTCACCTGACTTCCCTGTTAACTGGGGCCCCAAGTTTTCAAAGCGTGTTCTTTCCTAGGACAAAGAATAATCAGAGGCTTATTCTAGTTTCACAGCAGCCACTTGCTTCCTTCAAATTTGTCTTTTGCTTAATTGGCAAAGCATGGCCTTATGAACATCATATCTGATCCACTCAAGCTCTGGAGACTACTGTTGGCTGAGCATGCTGCTGACATAACCAGCAGTGTCTACAAGACCAAACCTGGAAGGAAAGAGAGGCTGTCACAGGGAATCGGCCAGCACTGCTCTGCCTGCCTGTCCCATGCCCTATGTGTTGGATTTGCTTCGGGAATCTATAAGGAATGCAATGAATGGAGAGAGAGGGGCCAGATGTGAACATTTTTTTCACTAAAGCCTACCACTAAACTGAATAGGAGAACAGCCTTCTCATTTAGAGATCATGATTTTGGTCAGCCCTCCTGACAAAAGCACCAGTTAGAACTTTATGTGCCAGTAGTCCAAAGGCAAACTTGCCAATGTTGGTTGAGTGGACATAGGCATTGTTCCTTTGCTTGGAGCAAGTCTTTCAACTGAAAGCTCCTGGAATCTGAAATATGTGTGACTGTCACCCTGTAAAGAAGTCAGAAAGGTTCAATACCCCTGCTGCTTTGGAAGGGAACTCCAAAGGTGCTTGCTTATTCATCAGTTCTTCTAAGAGCAGGAGTCTGAGGCAACACACCAGAAGGAGGGAAGGAGCCCTGCACCTCTCAGATCAGTGGCAGTGGTGCATTGGCCATTGTTAGTATGGTGGTGTGATCTGCATAAACCCAGCATTGGTACCCCATTCTCATCTCCTATCTCCATGCTTAGTCTCCAGACTTACACTTGGCTTTGTGTTATCCTTATGAATGAATGAAGCTTGTTGTTTGTTACTATGAAACGATATTAAATGTCATGTCAGCTTGAATGTACAGACATGAAATAGCAGCTTGCAGCTCCGGGAATGGTCTCTGCATGTTATACTAATGCATTATGCAGCAGTAGAGTGCTGATTGCTGCACAGTCTATTGTTCAATGACCTAGTTCTGCACCGACCATGTTCGGCATCTGATGGAAACACGCCGAGTGTTCTGTTCTGTAAGATGTTTAGAAACTTGGAAATATTCGGAAGGAGCAAACATACAATTACTTGATAGAGGATGTGCCTCATTTGTACAGCCTCACTGCGTTTGTGCTTTCTAATACGATTATTTTTGAATATCATTATATTTCTATAATTAATTCCCATCAGTCAAATTGTTGCAGTAACTCTTCCAGTTTCCCTTCATCAGAGACCACATTGAAATCTTCATTGGAAGAAAACACAGCCTAGGCTATGCTTTAATCCAGCACTGCTTCTAGGAAAGATTTGCAACAAAACACAATTGTGTAGCCATCATTTCTCCATCTGGGTAACACTAACTAACTACTTTCAACAGTGGAGTGTGGGGAAACATCTGAAATACGACACATACAAAATACAGACTGAAAATCAAAACCAACGTGAATGAGGTTCTTTAAAACTTCCTCGTGTGAAAACACGGCTCCATGGGAACAGATTAACCCAGATGCAGTACAGAACACAAAGCCACCACCGCCATGAGCTGTGTGGGAGCTTCACACGTGGTCAGGGAAGGACAGCTGCTTTCTATCAGCCCAGTTCTATTTTTGCGTAGCACTTTGGGTTGTGGTGACGTAAAGAGAGTCAAACCTTCGTTTCTGGCATTGTCTCTCTGGAATATTTTCATGTGAATGTCTCTGTTGCAGGCCAAGAGTCCTTCTATCTTCTTGGAAGAACAACCTTTCAGTGGATTTTCATGGCAGGTGGGGGCAGGACAACTTTCTCTAAAAGACAACACTATGCAACCTATCAATATGCATATTCCAAAGATCTTTCTAGTCATTCATTCTCTTTGATTTTACTGGAAAATATTCTCAGTTAAAAAAAAGTTCTGGAAAGACTATCAGTATTTTTTTCAGGGAAGAAGAAGAGGGAAGATTACATGCCATGCTTTGTAATAACCACAAGACAACAGAGCTTACATAATGATAATATCTTTTCTTTTCTAAAAGTGACATGCACTCACAATGCAGTAGCATCAGCTTGTTTTTAATCACAACAAAAAACATCCAGGATGCTCCACAACACATTCACCATGTCTTTGAAGTCAAGCAATTTTTCTGACTTTATTGAAAAAGAATTCTACTGCAAAGACACTTTCCCTGTAAAATATCAATATTTTGACAGCATAGAAGACAAGGAAGAACATCCTATGAAATACTGGTTAAATAGGCAGAAAATAAATCAATGATAAAAAGTGTTCAGGGCAGTGGGTTGCATTTTCAATTTGATAATATTAAGCACTGTGTTTGAGATTAAAGCAGGGCCCTGCAAAGCCAAGCCCTTTCATATAAATTTCCACCCAGTCTCCCAGAAGATTTCTTTCTTTTCTTCAAAGAATATCTCAGAATATTTATTTACCAGCCACAGAACCCTAAGACAGGATGGCCTGGCATCTTCCAGTTAGGTCTGTGCAGCTGAGCTAGGCAGAGCTGTACCAGTACAGTGGACATGAGCCTCATAAACAGAATGCAGCTATGGGCACCGATACAGTACAGAGATGCTTCAGTGTAAGAAGCTAAGTCTGTAGCTGTTAAACACCAACAAGTTTGTCACTGTAAGGAACACAGACAATGGAGGGCATGTCTTTAGGCCCCATCCCCACCCCTTCAACTATCCTTCCCCATGTATACAACTCCCAAGTAGAATGATTTAGAGATAGGAGCGAAATTCCTCCATGTGCACTTGACCCGGTGCCCACTCCTGAGATCTCCCTGGTTTTCATGTTGACAGTGGAATGCACATTCTCCATGCTGCCTCATGAGCAGACTCTCACTTATGCATTGTCAGTCACAAACATAGAGGCAACATGAAAGTTACTGAAAAAAAATTAAAAGTCAGCTCTGCTGTGTTGTAGGGACTGTTGGCTCTCTAAGTGCTTTGAAATTATGATGTATGAGGTAGATGTTGCATATTAAATAAAGATATTTAAATGATAAAGCCCCCGTTAGTGAGAGCTGATGAATGTTAAATGTTAGAAGCCACAAGATGGTAGCATCCATCATCTCCATGTGTTATCGGAATCAATGATGGGGCGGCTGACAGACAGACTCTGGTGATTATCCCTTATTTCCAGAGTCAGTGAACAAACCACTCAGATCCTCTGGCATTATTTTTAACTTTGCATTAAATTAGCAACTTTTCCCTCCCTACCGTGGCAAGATTGATCAGTTATATCTTGGCACCAGTGGAGAGAGAATGAATTCAGGGTAAATAAAAGACCAGGGGTTTGTTCTCATTTAAGCAAGGAAATCAGCCACCTCTTCGTAGCAACAAATGTGAAACTGTGGTCTGGGGAAGGAACAGTGATGAAACAGTAAGCACACAATAATGGCTTTTCTTTGCACTTAGATAAAAGCTGAATTTTTGATGTGCACAGTATATTTTAATAAAATTTTATATACTGTGTTTTATACACTTATTGGCTATTCCATAATAATGTGTGTGCTCACAGTAAAATTGCTCTTAAATTTATGTGTGTTATTTATACATTCCCACGTAACAATGCTTTTTGTTGTAAAAAATATTCTGTTTATTAATGTAACTTTACAACCACTGCATCCAAGATCCGTGGTAAATTAATGACATTTTTATTATTTTATAGTGTCATTAAATTTTTACTGATCACTCCATCAAACAGAGGCAGTAAAGGCCATAATGTAAACTGGGACACTTAGATCAGGCAGTAGGAAGACATTCCATGGAGTCTGAAGAAAACTGCTTGCAATAAATGATATTTATACTATCTTTAAGCATGTGAGACTACTTGGATAAGTTTGGCAAAACCGTTTCAGTAGTAGAGTGGATGGTGTACTTAAATAACAGTTTGCTTGCCACTGAGACAAGCCACTTTCAAACCATATGCAAGATGATAGATTGTAGCTGTCCACAGAAAACTAACACATGAAATGTAATTCTGTGCCTCACCTTCCCTCTGGGTCACTGAGGGTAACCAGCCAGTTCTGGGCCTCAAGTCCTTTCAAGGTGGTCCCTGCTCTATACCCCAAAGGGGAAGGTGGTTCATGCTCAGAGGAGCCTTTGCTTTCTGCTTTACAAATGGATGTATTCCATTCTAGACCTGTCTAGATAATGGTACCATATACTTTACTCTTGTGGTCTAAAAGAGAGGCACTTTACTAGCCTTTATTCAGAAGCCCATTTGTCTGAGTGTGGTGTCATTCATAGCAGCCACAAAGCAAACAGCTGGGTGGGGGAGTGTTACCTATATTGTAGTTTAAAAAGGTGAAAATTATCTTGGGCTATTTTTATATGTAAAATACATTATAATTAGGATTCGCTCAACACTGACTTTCTTAAATAAACTTAAATGTGTGTTGTTAACTAATTGCCAAATACTCTATGTATATATGAGGTAGTAAATAGAAAATTCTGTGCCCATATAATTGTGGAATTAGTAGCACCAATCTCTCTCACATGGGGAATCTGACATGATTCTTTTTTATGTAAATAAGAATTTTGGTGTTACATAGCCAAATGAGCATTTAAATATTTAAAACGTTTTAAAACCTTTCAGATTTGTAATAAAGGTTAACATCATAGCTCATCAATCATGTTTTTGTGTCCTCCCAAAGCACAGGTATTGCAGTATTCTGAAATACTGTTTATCCTTGAAGTTCCAGCTATGTCTAATTATTGAGCACTTCCTGAATGAAGACTTTTTGTCTTCATCCCAGTTCTAAGCTTCAGTCTTTTTCTGGACATTTGATTTCACTTATAAATTGGGCTGGTGCTTCACCAGATAAACACTGTCCTAAACTAAATAGAACAACCACCCTTTACCCAGCATCCTCCTGTCCTGCATTTGCACCAGTGCCAACAGGGTTTGGTTCATATACATTGCTAGGTATCTGGCATCAATATCAAAGGATTTTACAAGTCAGAGATTATATCTCAG